CTGATTATACCAGATTTGAAGACAACTTTGAAACTTTAATCTATTAGAAAACATCAATGTGATTTAAAAAAATGGCAAGGTCCTTGCACAAGTCAGTATCTCACACCCTCACAAATTCATTTATCATAAAAGAACAYAACCCAAAACATTTCTAACTGAAATTATGCATCTGTATTTCTATACTGAGACAGACTGATARCTTTATGAAATTCATATGCAAGAAGAATATTTTCCCCTATTACTTCATAAAAATTATTTTCAAGCATACTTGCCTACGCTTATAACCTCTAATCTAAATTTTAAAAAGCAAAATCTTTCTAACAAATATTCCACATAACACAAAACTGGTGCTCATCTGTATTTTTACTGGAATCAAGGTTAGCTTCAAAATTAATTTTACTCCAAGTTCTTCASTGCTAGTTGACACTGAAGTTACTTGTTAGAGATTACTTTAAAATCTAGTATGAGAAATATTTTATCAAGCCAAAAAATATCCACAATCATTGTTTAATGGTTCCTAGAAAATGAATACATCATCACACTCAATATTATCAAATCATTTTAATAACCTCTTTAATCAACTATGCCATAAAAATATTGGACAAAAACTCAATGTATAACAGAATGCAATAACATTAATATCCAGAACAGTGGATTCTAGGCTTTAAAATTATGCATAACTATTAAATGATTCCAAGAATTAACTCCACACCATAGCAAGAAGAGGTAAATACCCCATCAATTCAGAATATTTGCACTAATATTGCTTAGAATCAAGAATTTTATTTAAAAAATATGTAGGTTATGAAATTGAAAGCACTGCATGATGTGCTTATTTGTAGTATTTAAATAAAAGTTTGTATGCTTTATAAGTTGCTTCTAATATTAGAAAGTTGATGGTCTAACAGTCCATGAAACTAGCCAAGAACAAAGGGAAAGCTACAGGCATTACAACCTTTGCAATGGCTAAAACCTACACTGCAGACAAATAAAATCCCCCTCTAGCACAGGATCCCATTTAAATATATATTTAAATATAAGGAAAGTCCAATTACGCAATCATCATGCATATAATAGATTTCAAATAATTCTGAATAATAACCTGAAGTGTAAAAGCCTTACACTGGAAATTGTGGAGGGCWGTACAGGGCTTTAAATTAAGATAAAATAAGGACATTATGCAAATTGAATAGGAAAACAAGGAAATTCTTAGTGATAAAACAGCAAAAACTCATGCAAGTAAAATGACCTTTTTAATTCTAAAGGTCAATAACAAGCATAGCAGAAAACAGACATATCAGTTGAGGAATTACACCTTTTTTGTAGATTTTTTTTTTAGTTTGTAAGATTGTGAAGGCGTAAGCATGTTTTGGAAGAAGGAAACTGCAAAAATAGTATGAATTCCACTCACAGATTTAAGATTAACTCAACGTGTGTTAACTGAATTCTATTTTTATCTCAACATTACTTAAGCAAGACAGGCAACCTGGATCAAACCAAAATTAAAAGCATTCAAGATATTCTTAATAAATATTGGAAAGGAACAAGATATCTTTGGTTCTGTGGCTATGAAGAGCCGAGGGTGATTATGTCAAATTATGAGAATACAAAAGCAAAGTTATAAAGAAAAACAYATGAAAAAAATTGAAGACAGTTACATGGAGTTACAAAAGGATGTGGCCAGCAATGTMTGAGACACTTAATAGTAGCTGCACACATACACATTTTTAATCTTGTGTCAAATACTCCTTTTAGACTGGAGGACAAGCTAAGGAACCTTGCAGTTACTTCTTTGTAGGATAGGATGGTTACTTCTTTGTAGGATAAATAAGCAGTGATGACTTTGTAGACAACAAACTGTAAATTAACATTTGTGGCATTTCCAGTATCCTAAAAGTTTTACAAATCGACAGCAACTAATAACAAAAAAAAAAAAAAAAAAAAAAAAGTAATTTGTGGATTGTGCTGAGAATTACAGTAATAAAAGCAAGTAAGTGTTACAAATCCATTGGTCAAAAGAACTGCTTTAATCTTACACATTCTTTCCTATAACTTCATGAACGGTTGCATAATACAATTTGAAAGGTGATGAAAGAAAATCATCTTTGATAAGTTTAGTAACTAACCAGTGAATGTTTGTGGGCAAGGGCAGCATAGTAAGCTCTTCATCAGTAATGGTCAAAAGCAGTTCTAAATTAGCAGAGCTTTCCTCATCCCTTGGCATGGACACAAACAGAAGCAACAGCAAATCATAAAGTATTCTGCTATCTATACTCAAATTTCAGATTTGAGCAGTCTAACCCTTGGGAATTAAATATAAAGTTTAAAAAAAAAAGTTCTTGCTCACTCTAAAAGAACTTTTTAATAAGCTTAATTGGCACCATCACTTTTCTTCATTAGAATGGGACCCTTTTTTTCAGTATTACAAAACGAACAGAGTAAGATAGCATCTAATACATTTTATTCATCTCTTGCCAAATGTTTCCAGTACAGAGGCCCAAAATTTAATGATTTTAATTAATCTGAAGTTTGTAAGTGATGAGCGTTTACTGTTCCCGCTGAAGCCARTAAGAGTTACTAAAGCTGGGTACATTTGAACATAAGGCCGATTCCCATACCTAACGATAAATTTTGGTACCTAATTTTAGCTGTGTGCACTTGAAACCGTTGGTCTCTCTGRACCTGCATCTCTCCAGCACATCTATCATTCCAAATTTTAAATCTTCTCAAACAGGTATCACAACGAATGGACKTATTCTGCTTTCACTGAGTGTTGGGGGAGCAGGAGGGGGCTCAGGGTGCTGAACAGTAGACAGGATGTGCCAATCCCCTACCAAATCTCTACCCCAAAGAGCTGAAAGGGCACAAGCTGTAAAGCACAGGAGATGCAAAACACAACACAACACAGACAGAATGACAAGTGGTTATTATACCGAAATGCGTTACCAAATAAGTGGATTTTCAGGAGCCTTTTGAAGGAGGAGAGTGAAGGAGCTTTACGTACGTTAATTGGGAGGCTGTTCCATGTGTAGGAGGCAGCGTGGAAAAAGACATAAAGTTGGGAGTGAGCAAAAGAGACAAAAGGGGAATTTAAGAGTGACGTTTGGGACGTGCTGACAGTAAGGAAAATGAGGACCAAGGTTAAGCCAGAACCAAGAGTGCCTTGAATATGGCCAACTTCATGCAAAGGAGTCAAAAATAAAAATCCTGTACAGGCTTAAGCGGCAAGGAAACACTGGCAGGTATACAGAGAGAGGGAAAATGATTTGTGTAGGATGTTCCATAGAAAAAAGCAAAGAGAGTTAAGAACTAGACCAGTTCACATCAAATAACTAGYGTAACAAACATTCAACATCGAATAATATATAAAAAAAAAATTATACTGATTACCAAAACCTAGCCAGATGTAGGGAGTGGTAAGGACATTAAATTGCAGTGATTCCATATCTAGGGCTGTTAAATCATGTGAAAAATCACTATCTAATGTAAAAACACAAGTCCAAAATAAATTAAAATGGAAAAGGCTGGAAGAAAAGGGATTTTTAACCTGCCACTTAACATAGCAGTAAAATGTTTGTAGTTACTCTGGAAGGTAAGTTCATTAGATGCACAAATAAATTAAATTCTCTCCATACAGAGTTTTATGCTGTTACATTCATGTTCATCATCTCTGTTGTCAGTTGAGAGAAATACATACAACAATACATACAACTCTCCATGTAAACCCCACTTTGAGGAAGAAAACGTTAAAAAAAAGCAAAGCTGCTACCCTACAAGAGAAATCAAATTAAGTAGTTTTAAAGCATATGAAGGACAATGAAATCTCACAACCATATTTGTTCTGAGCCAAGTAGCTTTTTACCCAAAGTTTTTTTTTACTTCCAGATTACAGGTATATTTGTGTCACTAAAAAGCACACATGCATTAGCTGTTGAGAGCTAAGTATAACTAATTGAGCAATTTGTCAGTAACACCATTAATGGCACTTTCTATTTGACTGAAGCCTTAAAAAAGCAATAATATTATCACTGTGCTTTCTTGCCAATATTTTCAAAGGAATTATAAACACATTTATCACTCCTAGCAAGTGTTTAATATCTCTTGGGCTTAAAACCAAAATTCAGGTTGAAGCACCTTCCATCTTACTGATAGCTATAGAGTTTGAAAAAAATATATATATATATATACACACACATCTCCGAGTTCACCTCGTATGTCACTGATGTTTAGCTCTAGAACAGACGAAATCAAACCCTATCCCATTTTGCTGGAAACTTAAAGGATGATATTTAAGACTGTACTTCTTCTCCATATAGTGCTAGCATATCAGCAGCCCCAGTTTACGAGTGTTTTTTTTTCATTATACTCATACTGATGTTCCAAATTCACTAGATAAAATTAATGACTGATTATTAGTAACTTCCACAATATCTCAGGGAAAGAAGTCAGTAAAGCAGACTCTCACCCTGTCACCTTTTTTTGTTTGTTTTGTAAACCATAAGAAAAAGAAAATATTGAGGACATTTCTAGCCTCTATTTCAATAGAATCATAGAATCATAGAATGCTTAAGGTTGGAAGGGACCTCAAAGGTCATCTAGTCCAAMCCCCYTGCTCACGCAGGGWCACCTAGAGCACGTGGCACAGGGCTGCGTCCAAGAGGGTTTTAAAGATCTCCAAAGAGGGAGACTCCACAACCTCTCTGGGCAGCCTGTTCCAATAGAGCTCAATTTTGGAATACTTCCTTTAACTCCATCTAAATCTTCTAGGAAAACTCTATTTTGGCTTAAAAATGAAATCTGATATTTTAAAAATTCTCTGTAGTCTTTGGTAGGTTTCAAAGGGAAGATCAAAGTAGACTGAGAGCAGGATGTCAGTTAGCCCTCAATTACAGAGGACAAGAATTATGTATCCCTGTGTTGCATGAAGGTAACCCCACATGCCTCGGTGTGTTCAAGCTCATATTGCAGTATCTCAAACACTCAGGCAAATCTGTACTTACCCACAAGTCATGTTCAGCATAGTCAAAGAGCAGCCAAACCTTCCTGTCGCTGTGAGAAAGGAAAACCTTCTGTAACGCGATCACGTTGGGGTGCTTCAGCTCTCGTAAAAGCTGCAAATAGGAAAAAGATATATATCTATATGTATCTATACTTGCTAAAAAACAAGCACACCAAAGCAACAAAACCCAGGTGTCTTTCCGTGACTAAATAAACAAGTAATTCAGGCCATAGCACAGCCATGTGAGCAGCTCCCAGGAGATCTGGGTGTTAGTTACCTAGCACGGAGTCATTGCACATGGGCAGTCGCCACTGCACCTRCTTGAACGCAGCCTCAAGTCAGCTAAGCCTTCCTCCAAAGGGAAGCAACCAGCACACGTTTATTCTGGGCTTAAAAACCTGCAATCAGACAATTATGGTGGATACTAAGGGTGAAGATTCCTTAGTTTCCCTCTCAGTAACTTATTTGTTTAGCTCAATCCTAAAACAGGCTCTAGGAAAGAAAAAGATGCYAGCAATTCAACACATTATCATCAGAAAGCCAGAATTGGGAGGTTATGAAGGGCCTTTGCAAGCAGAGTTCACCACCACAAGCTTTGCTTCCTCTTTCCCACTCTCAGCAAACCTCTCAAAATCAAAAAGTTATTGCAGAAAGCACACAGGACAGGCCGCATGTCTGCCAAGGTGACCTAGCTGCGTGTCCATACCTAAACCCATACACAGGCAGTCATTTATATCAGATTCCTCCTGAAAGTAAAAAAAGCTCTTGCGTGCAGACGTAACAGTCCTCTTATTTAAGAATCCCCATTACMGTTACAAAAGCCACCATGAGAAGTTAAAAACAGAGAATGAGGCTTTATTTCCTCCAGCTGTTCATATGCAGGGTCTGATACCCACGCAACCATCACGCTGCCATGCGATCCATGGCATGGGACTCTTGCTTTCCTGCCATGGAAGCCTGCAGAACTCTTGCTCCCACAGCAGCAAGGTCATTTTGAAGAAAAGCTTATCAAAAAAATGCTTGGAAATACTATGGATATGGCATGGCAAGGCCTTCTGTGCATCGAGGAGGGCGACCACCACCTTCAACGGGCTGAAGTGCTCACGTCTCCATCTTCTCCATCAAGTTCCAGGCGACCAAGTCGGACCTTTCAACCAACACAACTTCCCCACGTAGGAGCCATTGCTAAGAGATAAGGAGGAGCCACCCAACCTGCGGCCTAGCGCCGCGAGCCGCCGTGCCCGGCCCCCAGCGCCGCCCCAYGGCTGCCCCCCGCTGCTCAGCAACRGGCASGGACAGGATGGTTTTTAACATATATTCTCCTTTGATCGTACAGGTATCTGCCAAGAGAAGGCACCTTCTAAATGTGATTACGAGTGCTGAGATCTATTCCAGTTTTCCAGCAAATTGAATTATGGAAATGATTTTCGTACCAGGCAGGAAATCAGTTTTTCCTTTTGTTTCTTCCTCTCCTTAATGATAAGGATTTTTAGTTCTAACAAGAGAGAAGTTACTGTTTATTTGACAGTCTATTGTCTATTTGAAGTATGCTGTCTATAAATGACTKAACAACAGTAATTTCCAGGTATCACTTAGTGATACATTAAAATCATTAAAATTCACTTAAATATTAATGCACAGAACTCTAAACTAATACCTATCTAGGGATTAAGAAAAACAAATGAGAAGTTTCACATAACACTCCTAATGGAAAGTAGKTTTTTTTATTACTAAAACACTAAAACATGACAACCATTTAATCTGCTGAAGCCTGTCTTAAGGAGATGGTTTGAGTCCTAATCGTTTTAGTGGTATCCTTGGCAGCATAAATCATGACAACAGAATGCTCTGACATGTTCAGAAGATAATTTTCAAACCAGGAAAAAAATCTGCTTGCAGACACATTAATATTTTTTTAATAATCATTGAATTTTCCCTATAGGCATTCTTTGCAGCAATCTGAAAATGCAATAATTTCAACTCCTTTCCAAAATGAAAAATCTCATTCCCTCTAACCAACTAAAAACTTTGCAGGGAAAATAAAACAGCTAAAGAGAACACAGCTCCATATCAAATGCTAGAATATAATAAGCAAAGTAACAAAAATACTGGGTACAGTGTAGGAATCTAAAAAAATAGTTTCTCTGCAAAAACTGAGTGATACAAAAAAATGAGACAGGAACATGAGCACATTCTGCAGTTCTAACTGACACTGTTAGTGCTACTCCAAACAGAAAAGTTTTATGCAGCAATGGTCACCTATCAGAATAGCCTGATTAATAAATTAAACCTGCAGGGCAAGGCAAAAAAAAAAAAAGTGTCATGAAAATGCAAGATGTTTTCTTGCATTTTCTTGCATTTTCTTGCATCTCATATTATAAAGGAAAGGTAAATTTACTCTATGAAATAGCAGTAATATGTATTCACTTTCAAGTTCATTCCGTATTACAAGGGTGGTATTTCTGATATAAAATGTATGCATCTGACCTTAAGCTGAAGTATGGATTACTGCAAAGCAACAAAGGAAAATGCCTCTGTGAAAAGGTATTTTTGCAGCTACTGGGTGACTGCTTAAAGCTGCAATCACAGATGGAAAGAGCTCCCACCAAATTAGCAGAGTTTGTTTGTGCATGTTACAGAAGCACACGCTACCTGCCCATTTTCAAGTCTGTTCTTCTCTAAAAGCAAATTAACATTCCTAAAGAATTTCAAGAGGCTAACGAGTAATTTTTCTAAACTCAATCATACGTGAACAGATTAAAAGCAATCAGCTTAATTTTCAAACTTGCTATCTAGAAGATCATGAGATGTTTCTGATACTGTAACTGTAACAGCAGCAGCAACCTTAAAAAGACAGTGTATTTTCTACTCGAGAACAGAAGTTATAAAACAAGATACTACATACAAAATCCTACAAAAAATATATATAATCTAGTAGTGTTTAAAAGGACACTCATATTTTAATAGAGATTGTTTACAGAACATTTTCAGAACACATTCTATATATTCTATTTCTATTGATTCATTTTCTATTTTTAACTGGACACTGATGAATAAAGATTAGACTGAAAATTTGTCAAATTCTATTATTCCATTTTACAATATGCAAGAGGAAGGAAATACTTGGAAGTTATCATTAAGAATATTTAAATTGTTCCTTATTATCTTGAATTTCTGTGCTGCAAGAGATCAACAAACATGGGAAGGCAACTCAATTTTTATGTCAGTCTCACTTATCTATTTTAAGCAAATACTTGCAGTAGTTTTCCTGAAGAGTCATTCTGGAAGGTGCAAACTATGGTTCTTTACATCTTCTTTAGCTACTGAACCACCACCCTAATGCAACAACAGACAGCAAGAAATTTCAGGTAAAATTTTGGTAAAAAAAAAATCAGGTAAAAGTTTGAAAGGCGACGAAGTAGTATATGATACAAAACTGAATACTTTAAAGACTTTGGGTCCAGTGCTGGATGGATGACTACAACAAAGGAGCCAGACAGGGCGGTGCTGCCTTTAGTGATACCAACTACATACACTAACATCTTTTTTTTTGTTGTTAGAAATTAGTCAATATTTAACTGCTACGTCAACCTCTTGCTTGTACAGTCACTAATATTTTTCTAAACAATTTCATAATGCTGCAATGCATGAAAGGAAGCCAAGGTAGCAACTAGCTCTTTAACCAGCTCCAGTCTTGAAAATAAAGGCATAACTCGTGTCAGATTAGATTTAGTATTGGTGTTTTTTTGACAATTTTTGATTAGAAAGGGATGGTGTTTCCCAGTATTTTGAGGCAGGYGGACGACGAAACTAAGGTGAAATCTGTTGAATAAGCACAACTTTTTAAAGTATTACCCAAACGGGAGATGCAGAGCAGTGTGGGAGGGGAAAAACAGTCACAAGACTGCAGTGAAATGCTGTGAGATACTATGGTGAAATGCTTTSAGATAAGGCTGCAGCCTAGTCAGATGCCTCCCACATCCCTCCCTGCTGCTTCTGTTATTCATTCCATTAGCCAAAGGGACCTTAGTGAAGGCAGCATCCTGGTTGCACGCTGGCTTTCCCAGACCTTGTGCACAACTTAATCATCTTGGAGACTTGGTCACTTCAAGCCCACAGGCAGAAAGAGGCTCCTCATGCACTGCTGTAACATACTGCATCCCAGAGTATTTTACTACATTTTTTAACCTGACAAAAACCTGAGGGTCAGAAGCACTCGCAACACTTAGAATTCACTACCGACAGAGCACAGCATCATATTTTAATAGCACTTTAGCCACTTGTCCCATTAAAATTTAACCGCCATTATGCCAAATTTGCAATAAAATGCTAATAAAAATTTGTCTTGGGTGAGTAGCAGTGTATTTCTTTCATGGTAACCGCATACAAAGCAGTGCAGGCACAAAGTCCTCAAGTAATGCTGCCCTGCACAGTGTCCTTCTCATAAACCCATGGTGGATTTTCTAATTATTTTTCCGGTCAAGGAAACTGTACAGAAGTCCTCGCTTGTCACAGCTTTTAGTGCTTAGCACAAATTTTAAAACGGTGCATTTGGATGGCCCAGACCACATGAAAGAGCTTGCAGCATTCCTGGCAGCTCACAGCATTCGTGGGATAGCTAGTAACTGCCTCTGCTATCTGCTCAATATTCATTCAACGCTGAGCATTTCCCATATAAGTGTATATCTCTTATCCCAGGGGAGAAGCAGGGATCACGGCAGGAAAGTTTATGATGTTTGAGGAAAAGTTAARCTGGCCACAGAACTGGGACAGAAGCCTAAACTGTTGGAGATCTGAAGTGTCAGAAGCAGAGCTGAGTYAGGCTGGAAAGTGGGAATAAACATGAAAGACTCCCCAACCAACGAGGGAAAGAACACTGGAGACTGTGTGAGCACAAGAATAAGAGTGAAGGGGGATATAATATAGCTTAAAGATGAACTAAAGATCTAAAATTCTTTATTTCCATTGTAATGGCAGCTGTGACACCATGGAAGCACATAACGTACAGATAATGGAAAGTAAGCAGAAATAAGTCATATAAAAGCAAACCTCAGGTTAGGGTGGTAGAATGCAATTAGCAAACCTAGCACGTATGTTTATACAGGAGACGAC